TTGTGGTCCTTACGTTCTCAGAGCCTCTTTTTTTCTTGTTAGATTTAGTTGTATATGGGAGACCTAACACAAACTCTATTGTCACGTGGTTTCTTCAAGACATACCTAGACTTACAGTGTTGCAGCAATTTTGTAAATATAATCGGGATTCAAAAAGTAGAACAGATATGTTTCCCAGGTTGTCACCAATATTATTTGCTTGCGCTCTTTGCTTTTAAAGTGCTTCCTTCCATCCTTCTTTCTTCTTCCTTGTGCTCTTGAGTCTCCGTTGTTGATCTTGTCCAGCACCTAGTGAGATCTCTGGGTAAGTAGATGCACCTCATGTTTCTTTACCAGAAATACTAGTTTTCAGTGAAATTAAAAACATTAAGGAAACAGTTTAGGTTTAAATTGACTTTTTTTTTTTGTAATCTTTATTTTAAAGTTAAAAGTGATCACATAGATAGCAAAAAAATCTAGATATTTAGTTTGTATTACTGACTTCAAAATAATGAGATTACTTTGTTGCTGACTTTGGTGAGTGTAGGTGCCATGGGTTTTACATATGCCTGTTGAAGACACTGGAGTCCTTGTTCTATATTTATATAAAGGAAAGCTTACCAATAAACCAATAAAGTTTTTCAGCCCTCTCTCCCTCATGTTTACTCCAGCCACCAGTTCTGAGACTCCATGCATTTCTGCTCAGTCCTATTGGAAAAAAAATGGTCTGTTGAGGTGGATATGGATGTTTATGGTGATGCAGAAGTGTTGGCCAGTTGTGCAGAGTGCATTACCTGAAGGCTGTGTACGCACAGCAAGGTCTGGGGCTGGCACAGAGTCTGTGTTTAGGTCAGTGTCAGCACTGCAATTGGTGTGGGACATCTTCCAGCAGATGTGCATGTTAGGTCCTGCACATCTGGGCACCTAGCTGTTTTCTGGAGTCCCTGAAGCTTGCTGTAAGTCAGGATGCTGTACAGAATTTGCAGGCATTCCAGGCTGAATCAGAGGTGGTCTTCAGTCACAGAGCTGGAGTTAATTGCTTATAAAGCTGCTGAAAAGTCCCTTCTAAATTTAATTAAAAAAAAAAAAAAAGCCCACAACCCTCTTCCGTTTTATTTCCTTTCTCTTTTTTTCTTTCTTTTTTTTTTCCTTACTTTCCCCATTTTGGTTTTTAGCTGTTACACTTGGCAAGTTTCTTTCCTAGCATTTGGAAATAATTGTTTTCTAAATGCTACCAGGTTATCTGCCAAATTTAACACCTTAAAAAGGAGCGGGGGTGGGGGAACAAGAGACCTACCTGGGAATGGAGCAAATGTAGGGAGCTTTTAGCAAGTGCTAAAAAGGAAACTTCCCAAATATAGCACCTAAAACCAAAACCATTGAGTTCCCTAATTTTAACTGTAAAATACCGCATGCTATCATCTATATGGTAAAAAGAGACCCTTTCACAGAAGGTCTCTTTCTTTCTTTCTCCACCAAATGATAAAGCACGTGTGGATTTTATGTTATTTTTTTTCTTCTAATGAATGTGCATGGTTTGGGGAGATACAGTTTTGTCCAGGTGTTATTAGTAAATCTTGTCAGTTCCTGAGAAAGTGTGGTCAGTCTGACAAACTTTTTTTTTTTTTTTTTAAAAAAAAAGAAAGAAAAAGAAAATTAGAGCAAAGCTGTATCCCTTGTCTTGGAGATTTTGCAATGGTATCATCTACCGTGAGGTTCTAAGACAGAAACATTTTTTCTGGTGGCACAGGAACAGGAAAAATGTCTAATCCTTTCTTCTTGGTGATGGAAAGTGTAAAGTAGTGGAAGATATTGTTGTGTTCCTGCTGTTTCTGATCACGGTGAGCTTTTGCAGGGGCTCACTGCAACTATGTGCTGCAGCAGCCCTGGGTTGGCTCAAAGATGTGGGTGTTAGTGGTAGAGTAGAGCTTGCATGAGAAATGCAAAGTTTTTATGGAGAACAGCTTGGCAAGTGAAAGAAATCTGGTTCCTTGTCCTTAAACATAGGTTGTAGGTGGAGGGAGCCAGCTATGGCTGGTTACTTGGTCACCCTTGGTCAGTACTGTCTATGAAAGAGACCACCGTCCACTGTTACCTCCCAGCCCTGAGAGATTATTTCACAGTGTCTCTGAACGCATTTAACATCCACTTCCCATGTAGTCAGCCACTCACTTTTGTCAGGTTTTGAGGTGAGCACTCAGATGGGGACAGCCCTTACAGAAAAGGAGCTTACTGAAGTCCTAGCCACCTCCACAGACCGGCCAGGGAGTGGCTGGCAACTGCCCTGCACCTGGCTGCAAAGGCTCATGTTCAGATCCATGTGTGCAAGGAAAATTGTATGGTGTTGGATGATGTTTCAGAGAGAAGGGAATAAAATCCCCTGTAAACCACTTTCTGGACTTCTTTGGTCTTTGTGTTTTGTTCTTTTATTATTATTATTATTATTATTTTAATTCTTTTTAAAATGGTAATAGCTGTTTAGAAAAGGGACTGCAGGTTATCATGCCTGACCCAGCAGCACTTCTTTAGCTGGTGGGACTCTAAGTGCTACCATAGTGTATTTAATAATAATAATATTTAACCAAGCAAATGACTTCCATAGAAGTAGAGGAAAATAAAAGGAGATATGTACTTTCATGACTTCCTCTCAATTTAGATCTTGTCTTTTTCAATCATTTGAAGTTTTTTCCCTCATATTCAATGGCATATTTTGCATATAACAAGTCCTCTGTAATAGATACTCTACGTAATGTAGATGTAATTTTTGATATATTAACAACTCAAGGGAATTCAATTAGTTTTTGTAAAGCTTTACTAAAAGTTAAAAATAACCTAAGATGACAATTATAATAAGGATAACTAAGTTGCTCTTGTTTAAAAGTTGAATTTTTCAAAATTAAAATTACTTAACTACATTGTAAATCAGCTGTTCTGTATTAGCATCTAAGCCCTCATGTTACTGCTAACTTGATTCTGCTGTCCGACGTCTCTGGTGTCTGCTGAAGAAGACAAGTCTCTGCCCCTAACAGTGTGTGTGGGTATATATAGGGCCCCTTCTTAAATTTTTTTTGCAGTGACGGAGGGTGGATTATGTCAGAGCACAATATGCAATAGAGGGCTCTTTTGACGCTGGTGTGTTATAGGAATCTCTCCCAGAGAGAGAAAATGTTCGCTACAGCAGCTTTTGCAAGCTAGGATGCCTAATTACGGTTGAACTATGTTATACACTAAAACATATATGCTTTTTCCTTATGGGCTTTAGTAGAAAATGCTTTTTAAATGTAGACAATTACCAGTCTTGGTAAAGTTTTCTTTCCATTAGTAACGAGAGCACTGCTGATCTGAAAAGCTGTCAGGTCATCCACATACCAGCATTACATCAATTGACTTTTGAATATTTTTCCATTAGAAAAGGCTCTATTTTATTCCCTCGCTGAAGTGGCAGACTTTCAGCTTGTGCGGTTTTTCCATTTATTGAATTTTGCAATAAAAGAGTTTTTGAAACAGATGTCAGTCATTGCTTAGGAGTGGGGCATTGTTAGAGAACTATTTTCTTCTGCTTTTTGCTATTATTATTTTTCTTTTAGAGTTAGGAGAAATTCTTGTCCTTCCCCTCCCTAACTTTAATTATCACTTTTTAAAGCCTTAAATAATTTTCAAATATATAATCTGGTGTAAGCACAAATATGAGCACCAAACCCAGAGATTTCATAGAAACTGTTCAGATTGGCCATTGTTCTCAGCAGGAGTGGGACTGGATTTGATCTCTCAATTGTAAACCAGAAAGAAGGGAGTGGATGCATTACAGAAGCATGGTTCATATTAGCATCTTCCTCAGGGTGTGGAGTGGACCTGTTAACACTTTCTTAATGTTTAGATTTTATAGAAGTAGCTGATGTGTACAATGAGTAGTGTCCAGTATGGATTTGTTGTGCACAGAGCAACAGGGCTTGAAGGGATTTTAATTTTTTTATTTCTTGCACGAATCCCATTCAGGTAGAAAGATGCAGAATAAGATTTCAGGATCCCGATCCTAAAATATACGTGCTTCATATACACAGTGGTTTTAGAACAAATTATCTTCAGGCCATTAGATCTCCGCTTGTCATAGAGAAGCAAAATGCTATTCACATTTTTAAGGGGGATGTGCGTATATATACACACACTCCCCCCTAAAATCAGGTTTACATTTTTAGTATTCTTTAGCAGCCTGCCAGGTTTTCTAATGAGAATTTCAGTTGGGCTTGTTTGACTTATTTGAATGTTTAATTCTGAACTTTAAGACCATCACAACCTTTTATTCTAAAGAAAGTTGGCTATGTAAGGAAACCATATTTTGAACTGATGTCTGTTTGGGGGGGGGGGTAAACCTTTGTTAATTCATCTCGGCACTTCACTGTTATTTTTAACATCAAAGAACACCATTTTGGAAGGTGAGAGAGCACAAAGCATCCCATATTTATAATTTATAGGAACTAGGACTGTGACCTAATGTAAACTTGAAGAGATTTAATATAAAAATATCTTTAGCTTGAGGGCAACGGTTTGAAAACTTTGTGGATTTTCTTTTTTATCCTGGCTCAATCTACAATCAGATTTCTTTGTTGTTATTTCCTCTTAGCATTAAAGTACAATTGACATTGATAGATATCAGGGAGAGGCTGAACTTCCCCCCCCACCCCCCCAAAAAAAAAGGGAAAAAAAAAAGAAAGAAAAAGAAAAAAAAAAAAAGTAAAGATGTGTTGTTGGCACAGAAAGCAGCGGTAGAAGAGTTTCTGGCTGCCTTTTATTTGTCTGCTGACAGCAAGCACAAGGATCTCGCTGCCTGCTTTTGGCTTGTGTGGATTTGCAATAAACAGCTCAACTATATATTTATTTTCAAGATTGATTCAATTCAGTGAAGATAACTGCTCCCGACTTGTGTATGCTTGTTAGTTAATGGAAAATCACAGATGTAAAGATCAGCTCTTCATTTCATGCCAACAAATTAATACGGTGATGTGGTACTGTCTTTTCCACAGGTGTGTGTGTGCTAGGACTGTCTGAACCTCCCTGTAACTAGTACCCCATATGTAATTTGGAAGAAGAAATCTTCAATGGAAGACCCCCAGGGAATAAATCAGAAGTCTGTAAGTAAACAACTTGTCAGTCCTGAGGAAAAAAGTCATGGTTTTTAAGTGGTAATGATTTTTGTTGAGACCAAGCAGCTGGAAAATCTTAGAAAACTACATGTGCTTTTAGTGATTTGAAGCAGTGAATGATGAAATTCATTGAGAGGTGGAGGTACTAAAGCTGCAGAAAATATGTATAGATTTAAAAATACTTGTCTTCATCAATTCATGTTACGAAAAGCTGGGTGTTGCTTTCTCCAAGATTCATTTGGCTTGCTGCATTTGTACTGTTAACATTTTGATCTGTTAGAAAGTTTTTGTCTCATTATTTGAAGTTATTTCTTTTTGCCTGTATGAATATATGCAAATATTGCTTCTAGGAGAAGGGGGTACAACTCCCAGGTGCAAAGTCTCATGAACAGTGGCAAAATTTGTGTTTCTTAAAAAAAGATATGTTTCCAGCATTGTTGTTTCTTGTAAATGCTTGTTTATAAAGTCAAAATAGTAAGAAATTTTGAAAACTATCACACGTGGTTAATAATGTTTTAAAATAATACTTCATGTTTGGTCAAATGATTAGTGTGTGTGCTATGGATTTTTTAGTTTTGTTTGTGATATCATTTTTGGCATTTGGTGAAAATCAAAATGCTACATATATGTTTTTATTCTGGATTGTTTTAACAGAAACAGTGCACAATGAAATTGCCTTTTTTTTACCAGTTATAAAATAACTCCAAAAACTACTATTCAGTAAATTCAATTAGATTTATTTCCTGCATTTTTTTTCTTTCTTGTTTATTCTCTACATCTGACAGTATTCTGCATCATTTCAGTCTTCGCCTTGTATATCCAGTTTCCCCAGTGCTTGTGTTAGTTTTTCACATAGCAACAGAGTAGAAAGAACCAACCCACCTAATAATAAGCCTGTTGTGTTGCATGTTTTTGTTACACTTTTGGTCCAGTGTCTTTTTTAACTGTGTGAAGCAATATGGCTTTGATTATTTTCCAATGTTCATTTGTTCCACAGTCTGTCTCTATGTGTACATTTGGGTATTTATCCATTGCTGCTACAGCAATTTGTGGAAAGGACCGATTCACTCCTAGAGAAAGGGGTGGCCATGGTTACTGACTGGTGCTAAACAGGGATGGTCCTGTTTGCAGATGCAGTCCCAGAGCTTTCAGCACCACCCAAGCTCAGTCCTTCTTCTATTCAGGATCAGGCTTTCCTCTGTGCATGAAACGCCTTTCCACAAAGCTGTTGGGATTTTCTGTGGCTTCCACTGCCATACTGCCTCTCTGTACACTCGGCATAGCCTGGGCTTCATGTGCTGCAGTGGGTTTGGGTCTGGTAATTGTATGCTGGAGCTGTATGTAATGACAAATGTAACTGTCACTTAACATAACGGGAGTATTAAGGGAAATATTTGTTCATGGTTTGGCACCACCAGCACTCCTGTTGGGGTTATTCACTCCATTCCTTCTTTTCACCACTTAGTCCAGAGAGCCTGTAAAACACTTCATCTGCTCAGAATTTCCCTTCACGTTACCCAAGTGGGTGGTAGTCGTGGATGCTATCAGGATTGTAAAAATTTAAATCAGTAACTGCTGCATTGACAAGCACTCAGGCTTCTGTAACTCAGGCAAGGACTGAACAGCCGAAAGGTATATGACACAGGGCAGAAGTACTACTGTGGGGTATGACTCTTTTGATTGCTGTGTCATCAGATAGGTTTAAAATTGGGCTATTAAACTTGTGAATCAAATCCTGCAATTAGGCATCATTCATAACTGGACCAGTTGCTGTGTTTGCAATAGTGAATTGACCAACACGGGGATTTCTTAAAAGCAGTAGTCAGAAGGCAAAATAATCTCAGTGAAAATAAAGAAGATGGCATGAACACTGTTTTTATTTATTCTGCTCCCTGTGTGCATACAAGAAAGAAAGAAAGAGAGGGTGAGAGAGAGATTAGCACTCTGCAATTACAACACAAAACCCAAAAGCTGTTTGGGATTTAGCAACTCCTAAAACCTGGAGGTTAGGACAAGAGAAAAACTTTTCTCTAAGTGCCAGCTAGAAGGTACTTTTATTTTGGAAATGGCCAATGCAAACTGTGCTGTGGAAGCAGTTTCAAGTACATGTGGGTAAGGGAGGACCTTTATTCAGCAGCTGAGAGTTGAAGGTGTATAATGTTTTAGGAAAACAGAGCTAGATGGACAACAGAGCAAGTACCAGGAGAAGGAGAAAGGGAAATAAAAAAAAAGTTTATCAGATAACACTATAAGAGACTCGATGAGTATGTACATTGCCATGGTCTTTGGCCAAGACTTCTCTGTTGAGAAGGAGGATGATGTTTCACATGGGAATGCCTGTTAGTGTCTAGTATGGATTTATTGTGCACTGACAGCCCATCAGAGTTAACACATACAAAGGATACCATAATAAGCCCAGCAGGTAAACGTCTGCACTCTGTTACATTCATACAGCTAAGAGGGGATTTTAGCATCCAAGCAACACTTTCATCACCTGGAGAAATGGTCCTAATGGTGCTGTCATGTCTTTGGTTCACATTCTTTATGAACTGACTTGTAAACTGCTTGCAAACTTGAACACTACATCTGCCCTCACCTTGCTTTACTGAGAAAAGAAGCATAACACAAATCTGAGGCTGGCTAGACAGAGGATATCAGTGTATTATCCTGCCTGAAAAAGTCACTGATGCTAACTTGCTTTCTTTCGAAGTCCAAAAAAAAAAGGCTTTCAAGCTTGTTTTCTAATAATATGTGCACCTATTAAAGATGGTCCATTTGTGTTTTGTCAAGCTAAAACAAGTGGTGGGTTATTTTGAACTTGTATTTCTTTATTAATAAATTGGTTGTTAATTTCAACCCAATTTGTCAGTGAAGCAGAGATCTCAGTGATAACAAAGAAGTTATAAATTCCTACAACTGGACTGTCTCAGTGTCTGGGCTGTCCCTTCTAAAAGACTATCAAAATGCCGTGCTGTTCACCTCACTGACCTTTCTGTGGAGGTACGTCTTCATTTGATTGACTTCGGAGCAAAAAACCCATGAAATAATATTATTTGGCTTGCTGCTGAAATCTGCATGTCTGATACATAGCCAGCATGATTTCACTTTGAAATGCTATGCATAGGGTTGCATAGCTCATGCTCTGATTTCTGAGTTTGTAAACTCTTTTCTTCATCATCCTGAGGAGACTTCTCTGCCTTCTTCACTCATTTGCAATGAGTCCCACCTGTCACACATACCTGAAAAGAAAAAAAACCCACATCTTTTAAAAAATATCTTTGAGGTGAAAATGTCAGTTTGGATGTTAAAGAAATTCTGATTATAAGGAAACTGAGAATGGGTAGCACTACATCTTATATGAAATTGGTTTTAAGAACTTGGTGAAATTATTGTGGTTTCGTTTGTGGTAGGCTTAATCTCTGCCAGCCCCAAACTTGGCATTGTCATGACTGCATTGCCCTAGAAACCCTCTAGAAGGTTTCTTCATCTACAAACATGACAAACATTGATAATCAGAATATTCTGGTGTGATATGCTTGATGTACATAGTATGTCTGGGTTAGGGGTACCCTGATGACAACTTTTTACAAACCTCCAAAAGGACATTTTAGAGGTAAGCAGGTATTTTATTTAGTTTGATTTGCCTATTGATTTTTTAAAAAATGCATGGATTTTGATTTATTTGCAAGATTCAGCACAAGGAATTTTTCATAAATAAATACTAGGATGTTTTAAGCAATTACTATACCCTCTGGGAATATTTTGGAGAGTATTCCTTCTCCATTAGTCTCTGTTTTGGTAGCAATGTTGGGTTATTATATAGCATAAAATATGTTTCATTTCTACCCTGACCAGGCTTCTAGTTGAAAATTCTCATTGCAAAATTGTACACCAAGAAGTATTTTTCAGCACCGAGTATTTCTGATGATGGACTTTGCCCATCTGGAAAAACAGAGCAAAGACTTTGAGGCCCTCAGCAGTCAAATTAGATCCAAACAGTGTGTACCCAATGAGCCAAGAAAGGATGTGCTCCTAGTCTGCTCCAGCAGTTAATCTTCTCCGATTCCCCCTGCAGTCCCCAAACCTCAGCCTTCGGTTGCCTCTCTGGGCAGCCTGGCTGCATACTTCCAACTTATTGCTCCTCCCAGCTGCCCGTGGGTCACAGCTCTCCTGCTTACCCCATGCCATGTATCGGAGAGCAGGGCTTGCACTGAAAAGTCACCTCGTATCTAACGGGAAGATGCAGAGGGAGTAGCTGGTTTCAGCAAGAAAAGCAGGGGGGAGGTGGGGAGGAGAGGGGGAGGAACCAAACCAGAAAACATCCAGCACCTGGCTGCAGCAAAATAATGAATTTTGCAGCAAACATCCGAGATTCTGTGGAATCTTGGAAAAACGCCAAACTCCACGACCACAGAAATGCTGAGTCCATGGGGCCCAGACAGAGATGGCTGGGGCAGTTCACATCTCTCCCTCTTTGTTTCGAGCTCCTTGCAGTCTTAACTGAGGCATCAGGTTACACTCTTTTCACATTTTCAAGGTTATCTTCACTACCAGAAAGGGTAGAAAGTCCATTCTGTTTCGAGGCGAGCTGGGATTCAGTGGTGTGGCTCTCCAGCCCAGGAGCCGTTTTAGAGGCCATCATGGCTATGCCCGTGGGCATGGCCAGTGACAGCCAGACACGACTTCCTGCTTTGAACAATGACATCAATGGCATGTTTGTCATGCTGTCACATTATGTGTTTGTCACATTAGGGGACCAAGTCTATGAGGAAAATGGGTGAAAAAGCAAGCGTTTTACCTCTGGTGAAAACTCAGCATCATCACCTGTGAAAATCATCTATATTGGTGCTACCTCAGTTTTTCTCAAAGGCTGGCACTGCAGTGTACTCCTTCCTGTGTCCCCTTGCTATTCTAAAGAAATGTATAATGTGCTTCCTTTTTAGAAAGCTCTGCAAGGCAATAACCAACAAGCGCCATGCAATTGCAAT